GCCGGCAACCATCCCTTCCAAGCAGTTGCATCAGCTGCCCTGGAAACTTTGCAACGATTATCTCGGAACAGCGAAGTACACCTGCTGAAGTCTTGAAACTCATAGGACCTCGCATTTCCGACTGCACACCTGCATCTCGGACGGCAGCCATCCTGCTGATCAGAAACGAACCCAGATTGAAGAGATGAGAGCTAACAAGGGTTCATCTTGGGGGCGAATCCGTAGCAGGGTTGCCTTTCAGAATTTTTCGCTGCAGGGAGACAACATGGCTTCCTCTTGAAATCTTCCCAGTAGGAGCTGACATGACTTATGCAGGGCCCTGAATGATTATTAGAATAGGGTGTGGGGTTATATTTAACTACATCATACGGGGTAAGGCCGTTACATGACTGAAGCGGCAGACCTCCATGTTGTGATCCTACATAAGGGTTCGGGGACTTGCTAAATAGGGCTATATAAATTATCAACGAAGTTACAAGTAAGGCATCGCCAGTTAGCGTACTCATAACTGCACCTTTTGACGTACTTACTAAGGCCCATGTTCCTGCGAGCAAGACACACGAAACAGCAAGGTCAAGTCCTTTTGGCTTTAATACCTTTTCAAGAAAAGCCAGATATGAAGTCCCCTGAACCCGAACAGGTGTTCTGCAGAAAGCCGAGGACGAGTGGGAGCTGAAGATGGAGGAGTGACCCGGGGCAAGCCTGCGCATGGAAAGCACTAGTATGAGAATGGTTAGTAGTCTGTGTCCTTAGAAACTCCTGTTAAGGGATCTAGAAGGAGTACTGCAGCACTATAGTCTAGAAGCCTGAATACTTGATAATACTATTTCACAGGGTTCCTTCGTAGAAGTATAGTCGGACAGGCCCCAAATCCTATTCAAAAACTTAAACTGCCCATGGACTCGACCGTCATCGTCGACCCTGGAAAGCTGAAGCCCGATTTCCGTTATCCAATACCCCACACTCCAGTCCTTACCATAGGGGCCTACATAATTACCAATACTAGTTAAGGGGTTCCCTATTTATAAGTTTAGTACAATGGGCCCCAGAACCCTCTTCTAATTATTAAGGCCCCTATATTACACTGCCCTAAACTAACCTGGAACCTTGAATGGAGACCTAAACCAGCGTCCTTTGAAGAAGGACTAGGGGGATACATCCGGTCGCAGAGTTTCTCCGGCACCCCAGCCTTGTTGTCCTGGAAACTCTCGCCCTTATCATTATCACCATCGTGTCAAGATGTTCCTCATTACTACCTCATTGGCCTTGCCTTTGTTGCTGCCTCCCAAGTTCCTCAACGGCTACGCTTTTAACTCCTACAGCCTCCGAGCCCCAAAGCCCTAAAGGCCTGAAGCACGAAGGCCCGAACCCTAGTAGTCGAACCTTAACACACCTTCAGCTCCGAGTTTAAGATAGAACCCGCGTTGAACCCTCGTAGAACCCTGACAGAGCCTTCATAGCCCTCATAGAGCCCTTATAGAACCCTGATAGAGCCCTTGTAGAGCCCTCATGGAGCTCCCATAGATATATATATATATATATATATATATATATGGTTAACCATCCATATATATATATATATATATATATATCATATCATATCATATAGAGCCCTCGTAGAGCACTCATAGAATCCAACCTGGGGAGGAGGATCCAGACCTGCAAGATGGACCGGTGCTGCTCGGATCAGTTCGTCAGCTTTTGGAGTGAAAGGGACTGCGCTGCGGTGCGTTTTACGTGGTTTAGGGTTTAGGGTGTTCTAGGATGTTGGATGGTTTAAGGGCTATCTAGCTTCGGCTAGTCCTTGAATTGAGCTACGAAGCACTTTAGGGTTTGGGTTTTAGTAGTTACCAACGGCCTTTCAGGGCAGAGGCTTTCTCGGGGTAGAAGCTAAGGCCTTGAATTGTTTTCAATGTGTTCTATATAGAGCTTTGCGGGTTGTCATGGGTGCTGAAAAAATCTGTATTATGCATAGACCCAAGTGTAAATCGTGCAAGATGCGATCTGAAACCCCAAACCCTCCAACGCTAAACCCGAAGCCCCTTTGGGCCTAGGTGGTCCCTGGTCCATGCGGACAAGAGCGAGAAACTGAAGCTGAAGCTGACTCTCGGCCAGAGAATGCACCAAGAGGTTCACTGCAGGGGCCTAAAGAATTGCCGATGTTTTTTGGGAGGGTTTCTCATGAGAACTATAGTTCAGTATGCCTTCAGCAGCAGGTCTTTGGGTAGTTTGTCGAAGGCCTGGGTGCCCCGTGCAGATGATTGCCGGAGCATGCCGGAGCCGTAAGGGCGGCTCTTGTATGTACTCTTCATTCTTACCATTATGCTTCTTGTTGCTGCTAAAAAGTGCTAGCATCACTATTACTAATGTCGGGGTCTTAGTAACTAGAACAGGGTTTGGGGGTATAACAAGCCATAGTTATAACGAAGAGCCCCAAAACCTTATTCTGACTACTAAGGCCCCTGCACTAGATTATCTAGGATGCCCAGTATCCTAGGAATAAAGAGGGCCAGGAATAAAAAGGGATCCCTTTTTGGTATTGGGTAGCTTTATAAGGAACCTAGGACTACGAAAGAGAATAAGGGTACTACTGGGCATCCTAGTTATTCTTACCCTTAATACATCAACCCCAAGGCAGAAGTCCAGCAGGAGGACCCTAATATAGAACCCTGAATAGTAGGATCCTTATTGTAAGGACCCCCAAAATAAGGAACCCCTAATTTTCGGAAACTCTAAAACCTTATAGAGCCCTTTAAAGGAAGCCTTATAGTACCCTTATAGTAACCCTTTAAAGGAACCCTTAGGTAACCCCCTAGTGTGGCTTACCCTTATTACATGAACCGTAAGGCAGAAGTCCAGCAAGAAGTTGCTGCACTACACCCACTTCTCAGACGAGGCAGGCAAGCTCGAGAAGGCCCGGCCGGCTGCGCTCCGGAAAGGTCTCAGGGTTCCGGTTTAGGGGTTGGGGGTTTAGGGTTTAAAAGGTTCCGGTTGAGGGTTAGGGTTAGGGAATAGGGTTGAGGGTGGTTTTACAAGTGGCGGTTGTAAGTATTGCTTCGAAGCCCGGGAAGGAAGGGCAAGGTGCCGGTTCACGCTGTTGTCGCTGCTGTCTCCGTGGATTTAGTGCACCTTGTCTCAGGATGCCAAATGCAATGCTTGCAGCCTCACCATCCTTACAGCTACTCGGCCGGTACAGGGAGGGAGAGGGGAGTTTGTGAAGTTTCGAAGCGGAAGTGCTTTGCTGGGCTTTGTGGCATGTTATTTTGATCGTTGCAGTCGACATGCTGATGTTTGTGCTTTGCAGGGTTCCCGTTTACTTGTAACTTGCAACCTTACATCAGCCTCTTGCTCTGGACGACTCTTTTGATGGATGCTTGGGTTCGAGACCCTAGTTCCCGAGGTCTCCCAGCCTTGATGCATCAGGTCGTGTTTGGGCAGGCGTTTGGTCATTACAAGGCAGACCGTTCCTCAACCCTAAACACCTAAATCCGAACCCGAAACCCTAAACTCCTAATCTCCTAAACTCCTAAACTCCTAATCTCCTAAACTCCTAAACTCCTAATCTCCTAAACTCCTAAACCCTAAGGGCGGACCTTTTGTCCGGGTCAACTTTTTCCTTTTGAGGAGACCAGTGACGGGCAGCTTATGCTGGAGCGCGCGGCGGAGCAGGGCGCCCAGACACCAGTTGCGATTTGCACTTCTAATGGGAGTCCGAAAGTAGGGGACCCTACTTGGAGGGGCAGGGGACTTAGTAAGTAGGTTATAAGTAGAGTTATAAGTACCCTAAACGGACTTACCCCAATTATATCCCTACTTATAACCTACTTACTAAGTCCCCTGCCACTCCAAGTAATCTAGTACCCTGAATGGTAGGATCCTTGTTATAAGGACTCCAAATTACGGTACCCCTAATTTTCGGAAAGTCCTAAATTTTTACAGTGTGTGTGTGTAGACAAACTAGTATGTGGGCGCATCATAGAGACACATAGAAAGCAACAAATAACGTACACATGCATATTTACATATACATATACAGATTATATATATATATATATATATGTATATATGTATGTATAATTACATACATACACGCACATGCACAGCGCATGCATTATGCAATAGGTTTCCAGGCCCCGATGCAATCCATCATGCAGAGCAACGTAGCACTTCATCGAAGAGCAGGTCGGGTGATCTCGCCAGTGGTTGCTCAAAATGCAGTACTTCAAGATTCAAGAGCCTCTACTATACGCGCCTAAACACTTGGTTCTGGAGCGCAAATCAGAAACTATCAGAAACTGCCACGAATCACAAACAGCCGCGAATCAGAAACTGCCGTGTGTCAGACACTACCGCGAATCGGAAACTACCGCGAATCAGAAACTTTTCCGAATCACTGCCGTAAATCAGGAACTGCCGCGAATCACAAACTACAAGCGCGAATCACAAACTTCCGCGAATCAGTAACTGCAGCGAATCACAAACCGCGAATCAAAAACTGCCGTAAATCAGAAACTGCCACGAATCCGAAATTGTGAATCAGAAACTGTCAAGAATCAGACGCTGTCGTGAATCAGACATGATATGAGTCAGAAATTTGTTGCGAATCAGACACTGCCACGAATCAGAAACCAGTGCGAATCAGAAACTACCGCGACCCGGAGTCCTGGGAGGACCCAAAATGTAGATCCTTTAAAGGATCCCTTAAAGGAACCCTGAAAGAATCCTTTAAGGGCATTCCTGTAAAGAACTCTTGAGCAGCGGGTCTGGGAATGTGGGGCTTGCAGTTGCAGTTGGCCTTCCTCTGGCTCGGAAAGCTGCGGCACTGGACTTGGCATGCCCACCACGTGAACCCTTCAGAGTAGAAGTCTGATTAGTTATTCGGTTAGATTCCTTATTGACTAAGTACTCATTGGTTTGTAAGAAAAGACGGCCAGAACTCGGTTGCGAGGACGGCAGCTGCTTGAGAAGTGTAGCAACGGTGTTGATCGTTGCTCGCGGCCATGTTGGTGTGCCGTCGGCGGGCGCCTTGGGCGCCAAGCGCTCTGGCCCCGGATGTGCCGCAGGAGCGAGAGACGCAAGACTTGGCCTTCATGCAACTATCAGTAGCATCGACCCCGAATGGGCGGCAACAGGGGCAAAGCGAGTCCAAGATTCCTTTGAAATGCGAAGCTGTAGAGCAAATTTCACTCGTAGTCACACGGGTATGACTCGTAATCCTACTCTTTGCAATCAGCACCATCACAGTCCTTGTCGTTGCATCGGCATTCCATTGGCAGCGGCAGCATGAACGTCTTGATATCCGGAACAGGAGGTCTTCGACGGTGTTGATGGCCCACCATTTGGTGGCAAGAGCCTGGTTCTTCGGCTTGCAGTTGGCTTCGGACTAACCGAGGCCTCAAGCACGTTTTTCTATGTGCGGCAGACAGTTCCGTTGTCATGAAGGAGTTTCTGGACATGCATCGCTAGACATTCAATCAGGAAATGGGCGCCCGCTGTGCATGGCTGCATCGATGGTCTATTGCCCTTGCTGCATCCATGTTTGCGTGTTCAGTGCTTGCTCCAAGCAGCGACTGAGGTTCTCGCTGTCGTCATCGATGTCGCCATGTGGGTGGCTCTCTACTGGCGTAACTACGACAACTTGTGGCAACTCGGACGTCGGCTCATTCAGGGGCAAGTCTCGTAGACCCAGCTTGCATCACTGCATCTAATTAGTTGCTTGCTGGAACTGGCGTGTCTACAGTTTACAGTTTGTGACCACTTACAGCACCGGATGCGGCACCAAACATGACCCAACGGAGTATCAGCTACGAAGACCCTCAACCCAACGACCGTAGACCCTAAGACCCATAGACCCCAAGTTTATCTCGGGAGGTGTCAGATGCGTCCTCCGCTAGCCAGGAACATCACCGTGGCACACTACTATACCTTCATCACCATCACGGACCTCGCAGCGTCGGAGAGCCCAGACGGGTTTGGAGTTTAGAGACACTTACCACCCCTAAACCCGAAGCCCTCAACTCTAGGCATATGCTTGTGTGGTTTAGGGTTCACTGGACCTGCACCGTCCTGCAAGGGTTGCAGAGCCGCCTTGGAATACAAGCTTTTAATATTCGAGACTGGGACGCTCAAAAGCTAAGGCCACCACAGCATCCCTTGCTGTAATAATATCAGGGGCGTCCATGAGGGTTACCCGAAGGGATCCTTTCGCTTTTGGGATCCTTCAGAGATACTATAAGGGTGTTGCTGAATTTCGTGCCTGGATACATACCAATGGTTATGCCTTGTGGGTCCGTATTAGAAATATAGTTCTGATAGATTATACCTATTCAAATCATGAAGGCCCCTCTGAACAAACGTAGTCTTCACGATCTCTGCAAGAAGGAGGCTTCACAAGTCTATGTTGAGGTGCTTTTGTGTCCGAACCGTGAATGCTCAGCAACTGATCAGACTGCCACAACATCCAAGATCTTTTTATTAATCCCAATCCCTCACGTTGCGCAGAGTCTCTGGCAGAGATCCGCGAAGCCTCGATCCCCAAACGTGCAGACAGCACCCTGAAGCCTCTGCGATACTCGTGAGGACCATATGTTCAAAATGCTTTAAGATACTCAAGGCTGCGACTGCCTCCTGCGCGACGCAGCTGGTGGAATCCCTTCCGGGCGATCGTCTCCATGTCCCTGTCCTATAGAAGGGCTCCCGTTTCAGGGTATGCGCTTGCTCGGGTTCCTGCGCTTCAGCTTGCCTAAACTAGCCTGTCGGCATTCCCTCGCACGGTCACAGCCCAGACTGCAAAAGAGAGAGACGTACCAAGAGTCTGAGCCCAGAGAATGCATGTCCATTACGGCTGTGGCGGCACCCGAAGCCCACGCTTTTCACCCTTTTGTTCAGGTCCTACATCATTCACGAAGCATCCCTGGCTCTAAAGACACTGGAGCCCTTGGAGTCTGGGCTTTGGAGTACCATACTTTAATCCTTTTTCTTAAAGGGACCATTATGAAATACAAGTTTATACTTTTTTCCTGGTTACTTAAAAGACCAGGAATACATGCTCTTCATCAGGGAGGGTCTCTGCCTGGTGCGCCTCATCCACTCCGTCTACTGCGTCGCCAAGCTGCCTGGTGGAACGGATCTGGGCATTTTCTCCGAACCCGACCCCTCCCAAACCATAAAGGGAACTCCAGAAAGTTGGAATATGGATTAGTGGTAGGATCCCCTATACTTGATCCACAATTCGTGCAATTTTCAATTTCCTGTGTATGCCTGTGTGATTAACATGACATGTGCATACATTATACAATACATATATATATATATATATATATATATATTCTTCTTCCTCCTGGTCATCGACTTCGTCGGATTCACGATGAGACGTGGAGCAGGACAGTCTTGGGAGGGTGGGGGCGGTTTGAACTGGTTCACTGTACAATGGGGTTTGCCGGCCCAGGACGTTGGCTTGGTCGTGGTCGCGGTCGCGGGGCCACGGCCCAAGAGTGCGGAGCTTTGGGATTTTTAGGTAGGGCTCGGGGTTAAGGTTTCGGCTTGGGGCTTGGTTTAGGCTTGGGGCTCGGTTTAGAGTTCAGGGCTTAGGGTTTAGTCGCTCGCAAGAGCGTTTATGCGCACGAAAGTGCGTCCTGAACCCTAAGCCCTAAGTTCCTTAAACCCTAGTCGCTCGAAAGAGCGTGCGCACGAAAGTGCGTCTTAAACCTTTCTGTGTTATCCTGCCCAAACCCGAAACCCTACAACCCGTAACCCTAAACCCTTCATCGTATGTTTCTCAGGCTAGGGTAGGCGCTCGAAAGAGCGAGTAGAGTTCGCGCTCGAAAGAGCGAGGAGAAGCGCTCGAAAGAGCGGAGAGAAGAAGCGCTCGAAAGAGCGAAGAAGCGCTCGAAAGAGCGAAGAAGCGCTCGAAAGAGCGGAGTGCTCGAAAGAGCAGAGCGCTCGAAAGAGCGGAGCGCTCGAAAGAGCGACGAGGAGAAGCGCTCGAAAGAGCGAGGCGATCGCAAGCATAGGCCCCGAACCCTTAAAAACGCTACACCCTAAACCCCGAAACCGTAAACCATTACAAAGTAGGTCAGCTTCGCGGGGATCTAAGGCTTTCGGGCTATAAGTTGGGCTTTTAAAGTAAGTTTACGGGCTGCAAGGAATTTAGTGTTGTAGGTTTGTAAGTAAGGGTTTAGGGCTTTAGGCCTTAGGGTTGTAGTAAATTGAGGACTATCAGGGGGGTAAGGAAGTAGGATGAAATGGGGCTTTTAAAAAGGGCTGTCAGGATTTAGGGTTGTAGGGTTTGAAGGATTGCTTTCAGGGTTGTAAGGATTTCGGGATCTAGGGTTGTGGGGCTAGAACCATAATTTGGGCGTTTGTCAGGTCAGTCGGAGCCTCGGGAGTTTCGGATGCTTCAGGATTTTCGGAGTGATTCGGTGGTGGCGGTGGTGGTGGTGGTCGCGGTCGCTGTCTGGCTGTGCATGCATTGCCCCCAAACAGCCCCTCTGCTCAGGTTAACTTGAACCATTCCCACCTGGACCCCTGAGCTTCCAAGCTTTGTGTTAGCTCACCCTCGCTGAGGCCCGATCCGCCTCCCGCTTGGACATGCTGGGCTTGAACTTGGGAAGAGGTGCCATTGCATTGCATCCGTTGCACCTTTGAAGACGTTCTTGAATTGTCGGGTTGAGTGTGATTATCCGAGCCGACCTCTCTCGCCACTACGGCTCAATCGGCTTGGCCAGGTACTTGGGCAAGCCGCAGTTCATGGCATGTGAGAACAAACACATCATGTGCTAGCAGCTGGCAGATCAGACCATCTACAATTCCCAATGGTTAATAATTCGTGGTGAAGCCCTTCGAACTCTCAGTGCTAACTGGCCCCTCAATGTTGTGATCTCCTCATCAGTTTGAACGACGACCTTTCAGATTCACTTTGGAGCAATAGGTTACTGAGGACCTAGCTTGAGGCTGGCTGTCCCGAGGCTTTGATTTGAAACTTGTCACAGATAGATCGTGGTCGCGGTCGAAGTTTCATAGGTCGCGGTCGAAGTATGCAAGCATAGGCTAGGCTAAGTCTCCTTCGCCGAGCTGTCAGCCATGGAGATGCATGGCATCGTCGTGGCTTGGGGGGCGGAACGCCAATACGAAGGCGGCTTGCCTGCAGTTGGGGGCTTGTGTGCCAGTGTGTAACACTTAACACAGTCTGTATTTGCTAAGGAAAGCTGGGGCGGGAATACATGCCGAGCTTGCTGCACAAGTTCTATGGTCGCAACGCCGTATATTTCCAATATGATGTCCGTGGAGTTTGGCCGATGGATCCCGCCAACCTGCAGGATGCGCACTCCAGATCTCCCTCTCCTCGTGGCCGTCTGTGCTGTTGCTTAGAACTTTTTTGTGGTTCAGTTCTAACTATTATGATAAGGAACTGAGCAGCCAAACGGGGTAAGCAGAATCGTGTCTATCAGGTCGAGGTGGCGACAATCCGCTGGAGAACCAGGAGTTCCTCATGGAGTTGCTGGAGACGGGCTTTCAGGCGATGGTGGCAATCGCTGTGATGGGCTTTGGTGCAGTTGCAGCTCACGATCGTAAGATCTTCCAGGTTTTCTCGGTGACCTGCTTCTTGGTCGTGACTCAGGTGGTTGGGTTTAGGCTTAGTTTGGCACTTTTTTTGTTTTTCATCGCGCCTTTTGACAAGAGCCGCCCAGGTTCGGCTGGGAGGCACCGGTCCATAAGCGCCGCGGTGGTGCTGGCGTGGCTTTTTTCGGTGGCGATATGGGCTCCCTCACACTATGGCCTGAAGTCGAAGGCGTTGAGGAATGTGGGCAGCTGGCTGGAAAGGGACGTCGTCGAGCAGCTGCAAAAGATCAAGGAGGAGGCCTTGAAGCATCTGACCTGGGGCATGGGGTCGTGGTCGCCGTCGTGGTCGCCTTCGAGGTCGCCTGAGGCACCCGCGTCTTCGTCGGCGAGTGGTGGACCTCCACAGCTGCCTGTGCAAACACTGCAGGAGTGGACCACCCAGACGGAAACATGGCTGCATCAACTAAACCTCCATATCCAATTCTTTTGGCTTGCTAGGTAGGAGGGAAAAAAAAGCTTTTGGCTTACATTGCAGCAATTGTGCTAAAATTTCACGTGCGACTAAATCCGAGGCCAAGTACAACCTCTACACGGCCTGTCCGGAGGTTGCTGGCCTGCTCGCAGAGCTGCACGTTGATGAAACCGCGTGGAGGGTGCCTTGATTCCTTTTTTAAAGTCTGCGCTGCCTGCTGCATAAGGGCTGCGGGCTGCTTGCATTTTGTCAGCTAAGGTGATGTCTGCTCTGGCACAATGTCAGAAAAGCATGGCCATGGAGTTTTTCGCCTATGCAATGAACGGCAGCGTCTGGGCTGCAACTATTGCGACTGTCTGCTTCTGGGTTCAGTCAGGATTAGCCAGGCTTCCAGTGAACACGCACAGACCAACCAAGGTCCTGCCGACAATTATGGCATGCGGAATCCCTCGGCTGCGGTTATGCATCACTGCCAGGAGCGCTTCAAGATGATGAAATCCAGCTACATCAAGGAGGCGGCGGACAGAACCGGCTTCGAGTACAGAGGCGGTCCGCTCCATGGCGGCTCTACAGCTTCGGCATTTGGTGACTTGTCAGCACATTCCTTTCTTGTCGCATGAGACACTCCTCGTCTTTCATGCTAGTTTCTGCTTGGCCAGATGAACACAAAGGCGGGCGTCGTGGTCATCATGATCGTGGTCGTAGTCAGGATGACCGCGGTCGCGCTCGTGATGATGGCCGCAGTCGCGGTCGCTAATTCTGCAGTACAGTAGTCGCTGCAGGTTCGTGGTCGTGGTCGTGGCCCAATGTAAATGTACTTGTAATACTTCCAAATTATGATGCCGCTTAGTGAATAACAATAATGCAAGCTGTCTGTGAATCGACTCACGGCCTGCAGTGTCGTCTTCTTGAAGTCTTCGATCTGGCTGCCAAGCCTTGCAGTGCAAAAATAGAAGGCTGTGCCAGTGCTAGTGCAGTGGTGCCTTTGCTTCTCTTGGACAGCCCTGAGCATGCCATCATTGCAGGTGCCACTTCTTGTTCCTCATCATCGCGGTCGCTTTCATGATCGACGACGAAGGCCGTGCCAGTGCTAGTCTTGATTTGGAGCTTTGAGCGTGTCACGTTGCAGGTGCCGCTTCTTGTTCCTCATCTTCGTGGTCGCTGCCATGATCGACGACGAAGGCCGTGCCAGGGCTAGTGCAGTGCTGCTTTTGCTTGGTTTGGACAGCTTTGAGCGTGTCACGTTGCAGGTGCCGCTTCTTCCTCCTTGTCGTGGTCGTTGTCATGGTCGACGACACAGTCGAGCCACACGGCCGGGAGCCAAGGGATCCTGCTCACTCACGACCTGAGACTGAGCGCATGGATCGTGCAGTTGTCGTGCTTCTAGCTCATTTGGTTTCAGGTCCGGGCATGAAACAGCAACATTGCAACAGTGCACCAGTTATCACTTCCGAGTCTTCAGGAGCAGATACCACCTTTCACTACTTTATCTAGGTGGCACTTTGGGCCAACTGTGTAATTTCAGTTCCCTTATTTCTCCTTCCTATGGACTTTTCATAAATACTTCTAACGGGTCTGAAACCATCCGGACCGAACAAACCGACAGCTCAACTTCTAACGGGTCTTGAAGGCATAATCATAAAGCGACTTCCTGGATCATGGCCGGTTCCTCCAGAGACGGCTCCTGGGGCTGGGGCTGGTCTGGCCACGGCGAGTGGCAAGGAGGCTGGTGGACGATGGCGATCGCGGTCGTGGTCGTGGTGGCGGAGGAGATGACGAGGGCTGGCAGGATGATGGGCCCGGTGCTGCCCGAAGCTGGTGGGGTCAGCGTGGCAAGAAGTCGGATGAGATACTTGGCTGGCACTAATGGTGGGTTCTGAATTACCATTCAGATTCAATCACAGTTTTGACCTGGATTGCCGCAGAGTGCAGAGGTTGACCAGGGGACGGTTTTCGGGGTTTAAGCCCCCTCGACCCTGTGGTTTTCCTTCGTACCGCAGGGAGCGCAAAGCTCGTCGAGCCAGAGGAGAATACGGCCCGCAGCACGCTCCGAGATTTGCAAGCGCGAAGGCGATCCTGGGTTTGTTCTCATGTGGGTCGTCGTGCTTCTTCTCATGTCTCTATGCGGTCGGTCCCACTTAACCTAGCTGACTTAGCTAAGGCAATAG